ATTAATAGATTTTATATGCTCTTTAATCGTTATACAGGGTGAGTTTCCTACAATGTTCTCTATGGGTATCTCGCAAACTACTGAAGAGAGTCTGTTAAGTGGGGAAAGAATTGCAATTTTGTGGGTCATAAATATGCGCCTTTCAGATTTTTGAAAAAGTTTATGGCTTACTAGATATTTCGAAAAGAAAATTTGGCTATTTTAAAAATTGTCCCAATTATATTATAATCTATTTTAGACAAAAAGATTTCAGATAAAAGTTGTAGATAATCACATCCCTAATGAGTTTGTATTCTCCGATTTTTTCTAAAGCCTGTCATTTGATTGACATATGACACAAACATATGTTTTTTTAAATGGAAACTATAGTTGACCATGACTTCATAAAAAGCGCCATTTTTTAAGCTTTTCAGCGATATAAGCTATAATATTTTTTTTTTCACATAATTACTGAGTCATAGCCAATTCTTATCTGTCTTGACTAATGTCACTTAGTTAGCCATGGAAACAAGTTCAATCGTCGTTGCTCTCAGAAATGTCAAACTGTCACATCAAAAGTTTGTAAATTAAAATAAACAAAAATTGTAAATATCAATTTTTCAAATGAAGAAAAGCGTTGGAAAAAATTTGTTCAACTTTTCTTAGCTATTTTCGAGAACATGTGGACCGGTGAACGTTACTTACGCTTTTTAGAGAATGGTTTTCAAGACATGTTAGAAAAGTTAAATTTAGAGACGTTTTTTTTTTCTAAAAATTACTGTGTTATAGCCAATTCTTATCTTTCTTGACTAATTTCAATTAGTTGGCATGGTGTTCTTATTTTGTTATGATTTATAACTTAATAATCGATGTGCGGTTTTTACCATCATGTTTTTGACCCACCCTGTACACGACATGACAATTAGGTATCGCAGTCAACTTTGTATATACCCGACTCGAGATTAGTATTGTCTTATTTAATAAAATTTGGCCATCATTTCTTTTTATTTATATTAATAGTTTCACATCCTTTTATTAAATATGTTTGAAATATTTTTGGTTAAATTAGGAAAATAATTCAAAATTCGATAGTTACTAATGTTTTTAGAATTGATTTTTATTAAAATTATCTTTTTTTCATCTTTATCATATTATCAATAAGAAAATATTTGTATTCGTTGCTGATGAAGATTTGTTTAATAATATTAAACCCTTTTTGGAAAACTTGCTGGGCTCAATAGAAACTTAATAATCTATGAAATGAACTATGAAAAGGTGACATTTTAATTTACCACAACTGATGTGATTTACTGTGTATTACCCTAAAAATCCCATATCCTTGTTTATATATTCTTAAAGTTGCCCAACCGACTAGACAAAATGTGCTGCCAACTGGAGGACAAATCGTGAACCTTTCGGGGCGGAGTCAAAAATATCGATTATATCCGTTATTTTCCTCAGAGTAATGTAATAATATAGCCCAGGGTTTCTGCGAACTTTAATAGTGATCAGCTGATTAAGAAATTTAAACGAAACTTTTATTTTATTGTAAATTGCGGATTATTTTTGCCTGTTATTTTAAGAATTCCAGACCGTATTAACAAAGAAATTATTATTTCGATATGTTGGTACATTATTTATAATTTATGATAATGCTAATTGCTGTTAATTAATATTTAAAAAAAAGTTACATACCTATTTTAATTTGATTTAATGCAGGTTTATAAAAGAATCATTTCATTCTTAGATTATTTTATTCTAAATTGAGTGCTTTACGAATTTTATGATATTTTTTTTTTGAAAACATGAAACTTTTTACATTTTTGATGCCAACTAATTGGCATGGTATTATTGGTATGGAAATTAGCCAAGAAAGAAAAGAATTGGCTATAACTTGTAATTTTTCGAAAAAAAAAAACATATCATGCCTATATCGCTGAAAAGCTTAAAAAATGGCGCTTTTTAGGAAGTCATGGCCAACTATGGTTTCCTTTTGTTAAAAAAAACATAATGTTTGTGTCATATGTCAAAAATGACAGGCTTTAGAAAAAAAAACAGAAAACACAAACTCATTAGGTATGTGATTATCTACAACTTTTATCTGAAAACTTTTTGTCTAAAATACCGTTTGATCGAATAAAACGGCGACAGCGATGGCTACGAAATGACTATCGATGATATTTCCCATATAATTTTACATATAAAATGACAGCGATCTTCATTTCATAGACATCGTTGATGGTGGATTATAATGGAATTAGAGACAAAAGTTTTAAAATAGCCAAAATTTGTTTTGTTCGAAATATCTAGTAAGCCTTGAACTTCTCCGAAAAATCCGAAAGGCGCATATTTATGACCCTACAAAACTACAATTCTTTCCCCATTTAACCGACTCTCTATCTCCAGTCTCCAGTAGTTTCCGAGATACCCATAGAGAACATCGTAGGAAACTCACCCTGTGTAGTATTTAGAAACTAACTATTATTATTATTTGACTAGATTAATTTGATTAATAAGACTCGATTAATTTAATTTAAAATTAATTTGATCAGATTTTTTTTTCGTATATTCTACTACCAGAAAACCAAAATTATGTGATAATGCACTTTTCAACGAAGTTGAAGGAAGATATATAGTGTATCTATCACAATACTTAATGGAATTACTACAATTAAAAGAAAAACAATAAGGAAAAATACCCAAACACCTTCACCTACTACTCATCTACAAAATAAACTAATGTAATATCTTATAAAAACACTACACAACTACTTCTTGTATTCTACACTGAAAAAATTATCAAACTTACTAATTAATCAAACAAAAAGAAAAAATAACTAAATTATCTCTTCACCTACTACTTAACTACAAAATAATAAACTATAAAAACACTACTAAACTATTTGTGGTATTCTACACTAAACATTATAATTAAACTTAATAAAATTAAGCTAATTTTACACTACAACCACTACAAAGAAATAAGAACATTTTTTAAAACTAGAAGAAACAGAACTTCGATACGTGCGACCAGTATAATAGATCAAGCGGACAAAGAATATAAAATATTTTAAAAATGTGCATTCAGAAAGAAAAAATATCTCGAAAATTAATTAAACAAATATTTTTTTTTCTTATCAGTGAAAAGCATCTGCCTCGTCGGCCTTGGGAATTTGTCGGGTATTTACAATGGTCGAATTGTATAATTACCAGCTTTTATAGCATATCTAATAGACAAAAAGTATCTGGTCGATTAGTAATCAATTGGTACAGTCCGAAAATTATCGATTTTTATTTTCTCTGTTTTTATTGGTCGCTTCAAAATTCAGAGTAACAAAAAATATTTTTCTGTAGTAAAAGACCGTGAAATACGCCCCGCCATCTGGTGCTTTACATCAATAAACGTCTTAGGTTGAGCTACTTTAAAAATCCATATACAAGGGTATTACGTACCTGTGGTAGTGGGTGTTTTATAAATATCAAATTGTAATCTATTAGACTGTTTCGTAATTGTAATGTCAATAAAATTGATGATTTAATACCTTTTAGGATAGTAAATAGTGTTCTAGTAAATGTAAATTTCTCTCGAAAATAATAGAAGACCATAAAGTATTTTATTATAGAAATTAATTTAATTAAATTTTATTATTCGAATTATAGTAAATAATTATTGTAAGTTTACAAAAATCATTTAAACACATTCACAAACAACCTGTAGAAAATAAAGACTTCGGACATATACCGCTAAGTATTTTTAGTAAAGTTACAAAGAATCAATTCTGTTGTATAAATTTATCACATTAACCAAAATGAATATAGAGGGTGAATCTTAAATAAGTGCAAATATTTTCAGCCTTAGTAGATCTAGATAAAAGGAACGTATTTTTTCTTTACCACTTTTCCAGTAAGTCGAAAATGACCGAGTTATTTTACTTTGAAAATTAAAAAACAAATTGCTTAAATTATGAGAACCACTGGATCTTTTCTGGGTTTTCTTTCTTGTAAATTTAATATATACTACCTATGTTACCTATTATCAAGAAATTATGTTTTTAACTAAAAACTAAAAAAAAATCCAAATGTTTTTCTAAAAATTCAAAATTTTCAATTTTTTGGCGAAAAAAACCTCATGACGTGTTTCTGGGGTCTAAATATACTACCCCTAAAATATTTGAACTTATAAGAATTTTAACTGGCTGCCTTTGTAGGATTCTTGAAAAATAAGAACGCTTTTAATCAGTTTGCCAAATAGCAGATTAGTTTTAAAGCAAGATCAGAACCAATGGCCTAACACAATGGCCTAACAGGGTCTGGCAAAAGTGAGTCGGGCATCTGTAGCTTCTATAATAAAAAAAACCTTTTTTGAATCATATACATATTAGGATTAGTATTTCAAGAAAATTTTTAAATTTTTATTTTATCTTCTGCAGGATGTCTAAAAAGTGTGAGAGGATCGGGATGATTTTTTTAATTAGAACACCTTGTATATTATTGCGTTTTTGGGCTTCTTTCTGACCACTTTACATATAATCCTAAGATATTATTAAATATATTTTGATAGTTTTAGAGATATAAAAACATATTTATCAGCCTTTTAAAAAATATATTAAAAATATAAGAAATTTAATATTGAAACTATACTAGGTATTTTGCTAAACCTAAGGTATTTGCTGTTGGTCTGTACTTTACTATAAATAACATAAGCTTAAACCCTACAGGGTATTCAAAATTCTATGCCAAACTGTCTAAAATATAAAATAGTTTTCCCCGCCACAAAAAAGTATCATTTTTACTCCTAATAAAACAATATGCTATTTATGATAGGAGCTACAGACGAACTATAGCCAAACCCTGCACAATATACATTTTCATCTATACTAATAGCCCAAATTGTTTTTATATTTGACAGATGTGTGTCGCAAAATAAACACTTCGACACGAGAAATATTATAGAACTTTAAGAAACTGCACTAATTATAAACTACACCACGAAATTTTTAAATTAAACTTTAAAACTATACCATTTCGACTTCTGCTAGCTCTCCTTCAAACTCCAATATTTATCTTTTTTCCTTTGGACTTTCTTTCGCCCAAATCGAATTGGGAGGAACGACGACGCGACACTAGCTTGCACTTTGCCGTACCAACTTCGACATTTTACCGTATTATACTCGCTTCGGAACTGTTTGGTCGAGTTATTAGCCAGCGTTAAGACGAACATCAAATATTTATTTTGGCCCGATAATCTAGAACGATCCACTCTTTGAAGCGGTTTTGATTTGATTTTTTTTCTTCGTCCGTTTGCTCTCAACACATCTAACTCTTATTATATATATTTAATGGAAACAGTTGGTGGATTTTCGAGAGTTTCGAAGAATTTCTACACTGAAAGAACATTAGAATTCCTAGTCAATTTGATAAGATAATATAGTGTTATACCGTGTGGTGCATCGGAACACGGGACATAGGAAGGTAAAATATTATCTTCCCAAGCCTTTTTTGAAGAGGTGTTAAAAGTTGTACTTTCGTCTAGAATTTCGTTTTATTTGGAATAGGCGGTTAAATGTTATTTGCAAAAATTTCCCTTCAAATTATTAAAAATATATAATACGGCCCAGAGAAAGCTACAATAAAAATACCAGCAAAAATATGATTTTGTCATTGTCAAATTCGATGTCACATTTTGATTACAGGAGTTTGTGTGGTTTTGAAAGGGTGGTTATTTCTTTCAATTTAAATGATCATCAAAAAAACTAATTGAACTAAGAATAATATTTGCGGTGTATGATTTGTTTGCTGTTTATTACTCGGTCACTCTCGGGTCCCGCTCATACCACATACATCCACAATAACTAGAAATAATCGAAATAGTATTTGTAATTAAAGGAAGTTTTTTTTTCTTCAACGCGAAGAAGAATATTCAAGTCATTGTTGATTTCTTCCTGTTCTCTATTTCGTCTTCGAACTTCCATGTGCCTAATACCCTGTCATTAGTTTCAAACGTCTGGTTTATTCTTTAAACTGTTGACTTATTCGGCTGTCCAGAGACTGAGCTACGAACATATATGTAATACAGTGGGAATGCTATTGTGAGGAAAATGCCGTTTAACCATCGTAACTCTTACGGAAGTTCTAAAAAACATAATTATTTTACACAAAATTATTATTTTGGAATTGGAAGGTACTAAATATTATTATTTGGTACCTTCAAATTCTTGTAAACAAAATGTGACATGCTCGGTGACATGTGAATTTGATAATGACAATCACATTTTTGCTGGTTTTTTAATAGTAGCTTTTCCTGCGCCGTATTATAAATTTTAGTAATTTGGATGTAGATTTTTGCAAATAACTTTTAAATGCCGATTCCAAATAAGATAAAAGTACAACTTTAACGCTTCTTTAAAAAAGTTTAATACAACTTTTACATAAAATCATCTGGGGAGATAATATTTTACCTTTTCAAAAATTACATGGGATTTCCTGTCCCGTGTTACGATTCACTATATTTCTTTAAACATATTTAATATACAGTGTTTCAGATAAGTACGAATCATATGGGATATTTCTAGTAATTAATTTAGGTTAAATTTGACTTTGGCGTTAGTTTCAGACATAGATTTTATAAACTTCGTGGATAAAGCTATGCCATATGTATATTACACAATATTTTGTTTACGGGACTTTAACATGCTTTTTTCTACTTATTTATTTCTAGAAGAAGATTATCATATAAAACCTATCCTTTTTTCTGCATACTCTACTGAGCATGCGCAGAATAATAGTCGACCAACGCTAACTTGGGGCGGTTTTTCGCTGCGTTCACAAATTATGGACCATAAAATATTTTTCAATCAAGATATACAGTATATCCCAGTATTGTCTCTACAAGAGGAAAAACTTTTTTATTATTGACATAAATTTTTGCTTGTTCTAAAATGGTTAATCCCGTTTATACATTTCCAAATTTCCACACCGTTTTTAGCCAAAGTTAACTAATGTGACAAAGACAGCCTATTACAGGCAAATTTTGTGTTCTTTATCTCGTAGCTTTGCACATCTGTAGTGACTAAAAAAAATTTTTTTTCCTTACAAATTTCCACCATTTAATTTCAGAATATAGAAAACTCTATAAGTGTACTTGATCCAAGTACAATAATTATAGAACAATTGCGCTTATGTTACATGCAAGTAATATCCTACTCTATATCATAAATGACCACTTAAAGCAATTTTTACTCCCAGAGATCCTTGATGAACAAACATGGTGTATGCCAAGAAAAAGAATAAGGGAATTTAAATGAGAAAATCTTAAATGTAATACAAATAATCGAAAAAGAATTTTATGTTAAAACGTATTTATGCTTCGTCGATTACAGCAGGGCTTTTGATTGTGTAAAGTGGAAGAAGCTGTGGCTAGTGCTGGAAAACATAAGAGTATCCAAACATATTATTTTTCTGCTTATTTTTTTACGAAAACAGCTCCGAAAAACTTAAAGTCAGGTACACCCTCTCTAAAGCGTTTAGTTCTAAACGTGGTGTTACCCATACTTTTTAACATATATGGAACACATATTTAACATAACGCCTGGCATCTTAGGCCTGGCCAGGCGGACTAACTATAGGTGGAAAAATATCACAAATATAAAATATGCCGACAATACCTTAATTCTTGCAAATTCAGAGAAAGAACTGTTTCAAATAATGAGAAGGCTGAGTAAGATTAGTGCAGAACATAACCTTATGTTGACATCAAAAAGAAAACGCAAATATTGACAATAATTGACAAAAATTCTACCAACATCAATGATATTGATGGTTTTAAAGTAGTGGAAAAATTCAATTACCTCGGATCCTTTGTAATAAACAGGGGGGAGGGGGGGTTATGTCAAAGAAATTAAACTAAGACTAGTAATAGCTCGTAATTCGATAATAAAACTAACTCGAATATGAAAATACTCTGCAATAATCCAGCGCAGCCAAGTAAAATTACTGAACACATTGATTTTCCCTATTGCTAGTTATGCACCTGAGACCTGGACCCAGAAAACTGCAAACAGAAGAAAAGTAGATGTTTTTGAAATGTGGATCTACAGAAGAACGTTGCGACTTTCATATACAGAACATCGGACCAATGCAATGTTTCAATTCTAAGGCAGTTGAAAGTTACCATAAGACTTTCAACCAAATAAACCAGTCATATCTTAGGTACTCTAGGCACATTTCGAGAAGAACAGATGAACTGGAAAAAATCAAAGAATATCGTTGTTTTAGTATTGAAAATACTTCTGGCCGCGTTTATATGGGACCCATCTTTGAAAAAACGACATGCTAGAAGCAACATGGGTTCAATAACCTGCCTGTCAACACGTACTTGAGTTGATAGAGCCGGCGTTAATGAGCGAATAGGGCAAGGTCGAGTCTGGACCGGCGGATAAAGAAAGCGATATTATTTTAAAAGAAAATATGTCAAGGCATGGGTTGTTAGGTACATTTTGGCTATTTTAATCTAACTATTTCCATATGAGAAACAAGGGACAAATTATACGAGAAAGAGCAGAATCACATAAATAATAAATTTAGACTAATTACCATATTTTTTTATATGATTATAATTTTTTTAATTATCAACTTAGGACAACGAAAAAGCTTGCATGGTTTCCACCGCCAACAGGCGTTAAAACAAATGAATCCAAGGCGTTGTCAAATATTTATTGGGATAAGTTGATAAGTTTTTACCGTTTGAATATTGTTGTAAATAATAATTATTATCATTTAATTAGTGCTAACTTATCAAAATTCACAACACGGCGAAATTTCAACAAAATTGGCCAACGGATCTTTGCAATATTAATAAAAAAAATGTCTATTAGGACTTGCTGTATCATTAAAATTATGCATTTCCGGACACACGTTTATATTAACTTTTTACCTTAAAAACACAAAAAATCACCTTCTGAAGTTGGCTAGATACTTAACTAACAGCCTGTATTTAAAAATCGCTAGCTAGCGATTTTGTAAATAAAGCTATGCTTATTTTAATAGAAAAAAAAACATTTCATAAAAAATAAATAAACCCATAATTCAATTACTATACACTAATTAATTAATTTTAAATGTATCTAAATAGGCACTTTAATAATTGAAAAATGGACATGAGCACTTCATAGAGTCCAACATGTAATTACAAACAACATGCATTACAAACATGTAAAAAAATTCCAATAAAAAAAACACAAATGGCACATTAAAATCAATCAAACTATAGGTACCTAAACGGCCAATCAGCAGTCACAAGACGCCGACATCAATAACGCGATGAGCCGTTTTTAATAATTATTCCGAGTTAATACTTCAAGTAGCATTCCTTCAAATAAATTTTAATTTAAGTATTGTTAATACATATAGTCATATTAATGATTATAGCCTGTATGATTTCTAAAATAAAAAATCCAGCGTGTTTTTATCAGAATAATTATTAAATGATGTATATAATAGTTAATATTTATTAACTTCGTAAGTATTATATTTTAATATAATTATGGATTTAATAATTAAATAATTATCTTAAATTTAAATTGTGGTAAACTTGTTATGAGTTTCAATCATTTATATTTAAAATCTTAGGGAAGGCAATATAGATTTTAGGCAGAAGAACTCAAGGGAAGAACTGTGTAATTAGTAATTAAAATTTTACATTTTTTTTACTTGCCATTTTTCTTGTCTTTCACGTTGCACGTTCACTCTTCGTTGTGTCACACACAATCTGAATTTCGGATATGATGCAGAACTGATAAATTAGACCAAATATATTAATTGCAAGGTATGCAAAGAAATATTTTTGTTAACTTTGCAAATACTTAAGGCATGCAATAATTTTAAAAAAATTTGACGTGAGATTACTTCATAATTCTTGAATGTCTTGGATGATAAAGATTTGAATTATTATGGGTCTGTTTTGTTTAAGAAGCTAACAAATAATTTCAAAAACTCAACTATCAAAATATAATGGTAGAAAATGTTTAAAAGCATGTATAGGTATAATATTCCATATTAATTGGACATACCGAATGTAAACTAGGAATATATAGTTGCTGCAGTCGATAATATATTTTGCTGCTAATTTTCCTCATAACAAAAACCGTCAATACTGCTACTAACATTATGGGCACCTTTTTATA